ATTATGTTATTTCAAAAAAGAAATTATGTTGTTCCTATCTCCTTTTTTGCTGCATGTTTTAAAAGTAAAACATTAGTATAATGTTCATTTTTTGAAGAAGGATAATGTATCTTTATTGTCCCTTTTTTCGCGGAAACCTAGATGATTTTCTCGTGTGTGATAAATTTTCGTTTTCAAATGACGATAATGCTCGTTTTGACGTAGCCGTAGCCAAGTTAATTTCGGCCATATTGTCTTTATTGGCGATTGATCGAATATCACCAAGCTGAAGCTCTAAATCGATGGCCAGCTGCTCTTGAAATGCTTCGTCTTCAATATCCTCTTCAATATCATATTGTTCACCAGTTATAAGACTATTATCTTCCAAGGTAGATTGTTTTGGATTATTTACTTTGTTGTTGCTTGCTTTTTGTCGCGAGAAGTATGATCGAACTGTGCTCACTTTAACAAGCTCCGATAGATCAAAAAGATAAAGTCCTGTCTCTGGATCTTTACTGTACTTCATTTCATCGACCACTGCCTGAGGCTGCCATCGTATTCCATGTAGTTGACCATCATCAAATTTTTTCTTTAGAAATTGCTTTACTTTCGGAGATAGTGTCTGCACTTTTCGATTTAATGGGAGAGCCCATCCTTGGTTTAATGTTGGTATATGATTGTAATCATCCCGATTGAAATTAATTCTCTGTAATTCAAGAAATAAAAGCTGTTGGTTCTCAGCAGCATCTAGCTTGGATTTATAAGTAACCATTGCGAGATCTTTTATTGATAATTTTTCGACTCGTTCAATATGATTACCATTAGCTATATGATGAAGAAGATTACCATAGTTTAAGAAGCGACAAATACATCCTTCGTAATCACAAAAGAATAATTTTGGTTTCGATTTTTCTTGATCGTTAACATCAGCATCTTTGAGTACTGATGATACGGTATCATTCAGCCGATCACCTACAGAAGAATTTACGAGCCGATTTGCTTCCAGAGAAGGATTAACGCAAACGAGAGAATTAATATTCGGCGAAACGCCTGAATTTCCATCAAGCATAATCATGTTACCAATGCCTATATTCCATGCGCGATACGAACGAATAGCAGTTGATTCATAGATAAAATTATGTAGTTTAGTGATATCGTTAATTTTAACTTTAGTTTTCGAACGAGTAGGAGTCAGTTGACATTCAAATGCATGAACATTTTTCACACCACCATGCGAAGCACATGCGGCTACAAATTGAGCAGCTGTTGAAACATCGTGTCCTTCGTTTAAATCACGGCGAACGTGTGACTTTAAAACGGCAGCATATCTATCTGATGGACCTGTTTCAAGATAATAGTAATAGTTAGGACACATACAAGATCAGACATACCTTTTCCACCTTGTGGATCTGAAAAATCAAAACGTTTTATTGTAATACCGGTAGTTTTTGATAAATAAGGCAAACTCAAAAGGGTCTGTGCCGAATGGTAACACCCGGCATTATCTGATCTTATGTAAGCGCTTTCAATCGTCGGATTGCATGTTTTTACTTTCACAAGAATGTCTTGCAGAATAGACAGTACTGCATCAGTATCTTGTGTCACTTGATCAAATACGTGCACAAATATGTTATGATCAAGAGCAATCTTTTTCATCGTTTCTTTTTGTTGTTCTTCGGTGTCTTCGTCATCAGTGTCACTTGACATCTCATGCTCTTCGTCGACATAAGCATCATTATTACCTGGTTTTGTTGACACAACCGTAATGTGCCAGCTAATTCCCTTTTTACCGAAAAACGCAGCTTGTCCCTCTCGATATGAAAGAGGATTCCACCTGTAAAATAACCAAGAATAACAACTATTTCTAAATTAATTTTTCTCTAAGTTTAAGTGGTATTTTGGTTGAAACTAACTATCTAATTCTGTTTCAAATTATATGAAAATAGATATTCGTTATTCGTTTACTATCACAGACTTCATCTGTTTGACGTATTCAAAAAATATAAAGATAATACAAAGACACATGTATATATTTATCTCTCAGAGATTGCATTTTTCATTTTTTAATGTTTGGTAGTTCGCTTATTGATAACCAAAACCAATTATATCTTTGTAGGTCTGAGTGCGTTTTATCATGAAGCAGTACCTGTCGAATAAATGGGAAAAAGAAAATATACGTTTGAGAATTATTCAAAGAATAAGAATCTGTTCGATCTTTCAACAGTAAACATTCATTTATAACGCTATTTTAAAAATCCTGTTGAATAAGTTATAAGAGACATAATATTGATAGATATCTCAAATGCAACAGCGATCAATATCACCTCATTATTATCTATTTATAAATATCATCACATTTATATGAAAGTAAAATTGATTTGATATGATAATCTTTTATTCAACTTATCTTAGATATAATTATCCTTTCTCATATCAAGAGATTTGTAATGTACTTTACTAAATTTTTCTTTGTTATATACATCTTAATAAAAATTAGAATACAAATAAAGTATGTTTGTTTTCTCGATAGTGAGACAACTACTCTACTTATTGAATAGGCTTTGTATACTAAAACAACTTACTTCATTGCCCAATCTAAGTTCAAAAATATACTGTTGGCAGACATTACTTGTAAAACATCCGTTCGGCATTGGTCCTGATTTACACAGCGTAGTAAATGGGCTTTCCATGCTAATATAGATTCCACAAAATCATCGTAATCGTACATTGTCCGATCGATAATTTCTTGTGATTTATACTTTTGTATTGCTTCTTTGATGTCGAAAATAACACTCTTGAGATTCGTACATTCTATGCAAGTCTCATCGTGATTGTGATCACATGAGGACGAAAAAAACTGAGAATGCCTTTCGCTTAGTGCAAATAAAATACAATGATCAGGAACACGTGATAATCGGCTTACATGAAGTTTAAAGTCAGATTTAAGATATTGTTTTGCGCGTTGTAAATCTGTAGTTAATCGTGTTTTTTCGTGAACATCGATCAAAAGATTTTCAATCATACTTTTTAAACCTTCAAAAGCAGTGACTCCATCTGCCACGAAATTATTCAAACCTTGAAGAGCTTTGCGTGTTGAAGCTTTACAACAGTCTAGAATTTTATATAACGAGGACGAACTCAGTGGTGAAAAATCAGAACACATTTGATGGCAATATTCATAGTACTGTTGTATAATCCGTGTTGAATTGATTGATCGAATTATATCAGGTACATATAATTCTGTGCCACTGGAAAGCCGTAGAGTTTTTTCTCCAAAGGGAAGATCAATAGATATATGAGGACTAAGAATAAAATCAATAAAATGCTCCACCTGAGCTGGATCATAGCGAATGTTTGCACGATGTGATGGTACTTTTATCATACCTTTACCATATTCTTCCGCATACAAACGAGCTGCTGTGTATCTGTATCTTGTCAATCCAGGAATAACTGATGAAATAAGATTATAGTCCACTTGTTTAGCTACAATAGATAGAATTGTTCGACGACCAATAGAACTATCAGTGTTATTGTAAGCTTCAGCAATAGCTGTCAAAATATTCATTAATTTCGGATCCATTACGATGTTGCTTCTCTCTAGAATGTAAAGCAAACATTCATTATTATTAGACCCACAGATTACCCATGAAATCAACTTACTGCCTTCTTTTAAAAATAACTCTTGACGAACTTGATCTGCATCGCTTCCAGAGAGAAATTCCAGAACAGCATCAACAACGAATTGTGTTGATGAGAGAAAGTTTTTCTTAGACCCTTTACTAAGCTGATTATATGAACGAGTAACTAATAATGGCCGAGCAGAGTGATCTGGTCTCATGAGCTGAATGAAATTGTACAGTGCAGTTCGTTTGCTCTTTCCATTAAGGCCACTATGAACAGATGATGAGGGTGTGGCAGAAACTGGAGAAAAATGAAAGTCTGGATCACCAATGTCATCATCCGATTCTTCATCACTCCAAGGAATATTTTCTAGCCAACTGAGAGCAGACTGATGTTCATTGACCTTAATCTATGAAAAGAAGACATTGTTGGAAATGTTCAATAAAAAGAGCATCTATCTCACCGAATCGATACGTTTCGAGACTTCTTCCCGGCACCGGCGGCATATTGGTTTTCCGTAGGAATGCTGAAATCTTAGTTGTTCATATAAGGTGAGTGCTACATGTGCGGCTATATTTTGCACAGCAATGCTGGGTGTTGATTTTCCAAAACATGATACGCATACAGAACAGGTGCGATACATAGATCGTCGAAACTCCTTGAGTAAGTCATCCTTATGTGCTGTACAAACACTAGTTTTACGTAGATGAAGAGCTGGTTGATAAAAAAGATCACTTCGCAGCAGCATAATCTCGATGCATGATCGAGCACCAGGAAAAACCGTACTTGAGAATCGTTCATGTCGCAGCTCATAAAAACTTATAAGGGTATCGCTGCAGAATCTCTCGTTCTTAAAAAAACATTGATTCACGGACGACATTGAAGTATGTATGTTGCTTTGTATAAAAAAAATAACCAAACGAAAAACGAATACAAGAGTGTACAATACGATATTGAATAAGAGGAGAATCAAGAATCCGGTGTTACATAATGGTATCATGCGTTTCATGGGCAGAAAGAAAAAAGACACAATACAACGCTTGTCTCTTTCGATCCAACACGTACTCAACAAAAACAGATACGAAAAACAATGTTTTTTATGAAATAACATAAA